GCGCGCGCCGGCGCGTCGTGATGGGTGGATGGATGGATGGATGGATGGATGGATTGGTGGAGGTGGTGGATGTGCGCAAACGCAACCACAGACACTTTTATTCATTTAAGTCCAAAATGAGAATCAACAGAAATCGATTATTTTTCTCCATCGACCCCCGTCACCCCCCCGTCACCCCCACCTGTGTTGTGACACAGCAGTGAGGTTAAAAGTGCGTCTCCGGAGGTGAGAGCTGCGCGTCTGTTGGAGTCAGTCCGGATGATGGAGGTCAGACTGTCGGGCTGCTCTGGCTCCTCTGTTCTTTTCTCTGTGTGGAGATATTTTTACTCTCACTGAATCTTCTCCACGATGTCCTATATTTAAACACAAACCATTTCTAAACCGCTGGTTTTAAACTGTGTCACCTCCACAACTCGGCTGCAGAATTCTCCCCCGTTTTCTCCAACAGTGGAGGAAAACACTGTGGGTGAAAATAGAAAGTAGGAGAGAGAGGGAGAGAGGGGGAGAGAGAGGGGGAGTCAGTAAAATCTCATGGTCGGAGTCTCACCTGCAGCACTTTTTCTGTTTGTTTTAAACACTCACTGTCTGACAAACGCAGACTTTACTTTTTTTTCAGAGCTTTAAAGAACATTTCAATGGTATAACCTAAATTTTTCCACGGTATTGACTTTTCCGTGACGTCACGTGACAAAGAAGATTTTAAAACATGTGTCTCATTCATTGGTTGATATTTGATGAACCACAACACAGACCATACTTACGTATTTCTAATTTTAACTTTAACTCAACACCAAAGTCAAATAACAGAACAAAACACAAGTTGTATTTTATTATTTCACTTATACAGATTGAAGTACAGATTTTGTTTTTTTTTAAACTTCTTATGCTGCTGCTAGTTTTGGGGTGGGAAGAGTTTTGTTGGACGGCTAACGGCTAATGGCTAACTGGATGAAGTGGAAGGATCTTGGTGGAGATGGTTTGGACTGAAGTGATGTATTGGACCAAAGATGCTGAAGATGGAGCTGTCAGGTAGAAGCAGCCAGCTATATATTTGATTTAATAAACTGTGGTGACCACAATCTAACCATTTAAAGACTAAGGCAGTGATACTTTATCAGTTATCTTAATACATTGTTACACTACATGTTCCATAGTCCTCCCAGCAGCAGTGCTGTAGTCGTTCCACTATTGACTGATCAGCTGTTTTGTTTTTTTGTTTTTTTTCCTTCGTCCACTCAATTCTAATTACATTTTCTGGTCAATAAGTGCAAGGGCAAGTCTTAAAACCTAGTTTTTATGTCTTTGTTGGATGAATGAAGAAGAGGTATCGATCACATGATCGAATTAGGAGAAGGAGAGCAGCGTGTGCAAGTTCCTAACTGAGGAGCTGGAACGCAGGAATGGCTTTCCAGAAT